AGTTAAAACTATAAATAGGGGAAGAAGAAAAAAAGGAGTGGGGGCACGTGATCCCACTCCTCGTCACGTAGCTTCATGGGTTTGTACTATTTGTGTGAATTCATGGGGTACGTTTGAAACTCATTTTAAAATGATTTTATTTTTTATATGAAAATGAAAATGAAAACATTTTTAATCTCAGACATAAATTATTTTTAAAAATGCGTTTGGTAATTTTATCAAGAGATTATTTTCAGTATAAAAAAATTCATTAATGTCTCTATCTTTTTCTCTCTGCTAGAGAGAGGAGAAAACGAAAAGAAAAAATAAAAAATGACTAAAAATTAATTTTCATTTCTCTCTCATTTTACACTAAACCAAAAAACCGTTTTTATTTTTATTTTTTATCTTTATTGCGCCAAACGCCGTTTTAAAAATATTTTCATTTTTTCTTTTTTAAAAAATGTGAAAAATAAAAACGGAATCAATTCTAAACACGACTATGAATTCCATTTGAATTTCTAGAAAAGGACCGAGTTGCAATAAGGGACAGATCAAAGGTTCCTAATTAAGTCATAATTACTTGATGGTTATGTAATTAACGTTGTGCACAAGAATAAGATTAAATAATATTTGATGATGAAGGGCACGTGCTCTAATATTTATACTAAGCATGAGTATTGATTAGTGTTTATGTATTCAAATCATTTACTCTATTACTGAGAATAGTCAATTGATGCTATGACATTTATGACTTTTTGCACCTGATGAAATAACTTACAAAAGATCCAACAAACACTTTTTCTTCTTACCCATCCAACTAAATATCAATTATTGGAACTTAAAAATGACATGATCTCAATTTGATAAGGTTAGCTTCTATATATGGCGGGGCCATAATTTTGTTTTGCGGGGTGGAAGCGAAAAACATGAAAAGCCTTCGAAATCATAATTATCAACTCTTAATACTATCTCATAGTTGGACGTACATAATAAATATTGAGGATTTGTTCTTTTAGAGTTTAACTTGAGTATAATTTTTAAGTTGAATTTGAGTTATAACTTGAGTTGAACTTATAACTTGAGTTTGTGTTTAGTTGTGTACATTTGAGTTATAGTTTGAGATACGAATATTTTTGAGTTTGTGTTTGAGTGAGTCAAAACTTGAATTTGTATTTAGATAGTATTTTAATAAAAACTCAATGCTGATGAAAAATTTTAATAGGGTATATGGGTCGGATTTTATTCGTCTTTTTGTTGTCAACGCATAGAAAAAAAATCATCTCAATCAGAATTAAAACGAAAAAGTTATAGCATTTTTAAGAATAGAAAAAATATTGTTCATTAATTTGAGTTTGAGTTTCTGAACTCGAGTTAAAGGGAAAACTTAAACTCGAATTTTAATCCTAAACTCGAGTTTGAACTCGAGTTTAAATTTAAACGAACATAATAAAATTATAACTCGAGTTGTATTTTTTTGAGTTTTTCACTCAATAGAACAAGCCCTTAATTCATTGAGCTTTTTGTGCTACCTGATTTAACCTGATTTTTAATATCCTCTTATGTACATAGTTTAATAAAAAAAAAAGTAGTACAGTTAAAAAAATCATTTTGATTAAACATTTGAAAATAAATTATTTAGGGGTACATAAGAGAAAATAATATTGAAAAAAAAAAAAAGATGTTTAAATAGAGACATATTAAAAAAATTATTTTCACAAATGCTCTTGAATTATGTATCATATTTTAAAATACCCCTTAATTTTTTAAAATGATTCAAAACACCCCTAATCTATAAAAAAAAATCAGACTACCCCCTCTGTCCTAATCCGTCTATACAATTAACAGAAGTGCTAACGTGGCAATCATTAATCATCAATTAAAACCATTAAATTCTAATTAAACATATAAAAAAGCTTAAATATTTAAAAAAAAATACAAAAATGAGAAAAGAGGAGTTGTCGATTTGATCTTCCATAAGAAGTTCGCGGAGATTCTCAGCGCTTTTCTTAACAACACCATCGGGCTTGCTGTAAGGGAGACTGCAGTAGCTAAAATGGAAGCTCAGTTTCAATGGAGGTCAAGGAATTAACTTAAACGATAGGCATAAACAGAAATCCCTAAACGAACCAAATAGGAGAGAAATCTTAAACGAACCAAATAGGCATAAACATTCAGATTCGATGGGAAAACAGAGCCACAAAAAAAAAAGGAGAGAAATCTTAAACGAATAATTCCCAATGATCAGAAATCCCTGGATTTATGGCCGTTGAACCTCATGCCTAGATTCACGGCCGCCAAGCCCCATTGAATCGCACGTCAAGCATCACCGTCGGCTGAGCAGCCCAGTATTTGTCGTCGTCATGAGCCAAGCCTTGTCGTATGAACAACCCAGCCCCCTCGCTCCTACCTCCATCGCCACACCTTCTTAAACGTAACCGCTTCTTCTAATGGGTTTGAGTCGAGAGTGAGAGATAGGATCGACAATGATGGCTTCGCGATGGGAAGGTAGAGCATCAACAAACATGGATTTAGATTTGAGTGTGTCATTAATTTCCTGGGGTTTGTTTGATGGGGGGTTTTCTGGCGTTTTCATTTGATTTTTCTTTTTTATAAATAAAAAGCTCACCGATTTGTTCCACTTTTGGGTTTTGTTAACTTTTTTAATTTAATACCCTTTTTTATTTATAATACATTTTATTAACCTCTAACACTCATTTATCAAATAAAAAAATCTTTAAATCCTTGCCACATCAGCAATTCCTTCACTATTATAGATGGAAGTAAACAATGAAGTATTTTGACATGTTTTCTATACATCATGAGGACATTTTGAATTATCTTAATAAATTATGGAGTATTTTAAAATAAGGTACATAATTCGAAAATAATTATAAATATAATTCTATTAAAAATTATTTCGCTAGAAAAAAAAATATAATATGCCACATTTATAAAGATATTGTATTAAAGAACTGTAAGAACATATAGAAAAAAAAAAATTTAAGGACACATTTTAAACAACAAAAAATTACTTCAACGTGGGCAAATAAATTAAAAAGAATAAAAATTTAAGTAAAACGCATTTTAAAAAAATTAATAAGAATAAATTAGAGAAAAATTTTGTTAAGGAGGAAATAGGTATAAGATCTTATTAATAAGGAGGCATATATAAAAAAAAAATTTGAAAAACAAAAAGCAATAAAAAAATTTTAAAGATCCAGGGGGCATATATAAAAATTTTGAAGATTACTACATGCAACAAAATAAATTTTTAAAAATTCAGGAGGGGCAAACATAAAAAGTTTTGAAAAAAATTACATATGTAATTTTTTCAAAACTTTTTATGTTTGCCCCTCCTGCAATGTATTCGTGCCATGATTTGAATCATAGTTCGTGATTCGCTACAGTATTTTCTCTCACAAAAAACACATATAAATCGAGAATGGTTCTGAATCATGATTTTGAATCCATGAACCAAACGTCCACTTAAAAATCCAGGGGAGCATATGCCTCCCGGGTATAGCCTCCCTCCGATGATGCATGGAAATAAATGGATTTGGTTGAGAAGAAATCTATAAATTGTTAATGTTTTGAAGATCTAACACAACTTTATCAATAAGGAACATCCATAACTGATCTGCATGAAATTTTTCCTTTTAGTCTTCATGCATATCATATGATTCAATATTTTATTTTGCGGCCGGCCTCTTCTCATTTGATGTAATTTCGTCTCCTATGTCCAGGTTAATTAATAGTTATTTTGTTCCCCTATCTTGACACTAATTTTAGCAGTTGTTTCTTATAATTTTTATATAGTGCAACAAACCAACAGTGAGATACAAGAAACGTATACTTTTTCCTTCTCCATTTAATTATTGTAATATTCTATAGGAGTTTGTATGGGATGACACAAGGTACACATATATACATATATGTATAATAATATTTTTTTTCTAAATATTAAGATAATTTATTTTCTTTTGGGATTAATTTCGTAAATGCTCCTTGAATTTTGTATTTTGTTTCAACATACCTTTTAAATTTTGAAAAGAGATAATTTCATCCCCTAAAATATGAAAAGTGGTCAAAACACCCCCCCGAACCAATGTTTTTTCATAAATATCTTCTCAACTATTGATTTTTTGTCAACTTGCCTCCCAATCTCTTAAAAAGCTATCAGGAGACAAGTAGACATAAAAGCAATAATTCAGAAAGTAAGTTGACTTGAAATCAATATAGTTAGGGGTGGAGAAAACTTGGAGGGGGTATGTATTTACAAAAACATAAGTATTGTCGATCATGTCATTATTTTGTTAGAATTATTATAAATGTATGGTGCATTTTGAACTGAGGTACATATTTTAGGAGATGAAATGAACCATTTTTAAAGTTTAAGAGACACGTCGAAACAATATATAAAGTTTCGGGAGCATTTTTGAAATTAATTTTAATATGATGATCAATTTATCTTTATTGCATTACACTTTTAGTAAAAATTTTCTAATGGTGTCGGTGACCAACATTATTGTCAAATTACCATATTTATTTTTGAGGAAATAATACCACATGCATGTGCAACATATTTGAATGTATAATATATAACATCAAGTAAGGCAGTGGGTCTTTATCTTATAATTTTGTGACCTAAGCACAAACAGGAGCAGCAGCAGTCCCCCAATTCAAACCTGTGTCCTTGTCCAAGCTGGTCCTTATTGAGGGAAAAAAAAAAGGAAAAAAAAAAAAGAAAAAAAAAGAAAGAAAAAAAAAAGGAATATGAAAGAGACAAAGAACCTTTGCCCTTGCCCACCTAGCAAGACTACACATGGGAGCAATTAAAGCATATCTAATTTAAAAGCTTTTAATTAACCGAAAGAGAAAGAGAAGACCAATACCAAAACCCAAAGAATTAAAGCAATCTAGAGAGAGAAAAGGAATAACCATTTCAAAAAGAAAACACACGAAGCATATTGCATCCTTAGGACTTCTCTCTCAATATATATATATATATATATATACATATATACACACACACACACATATCTATTATATGCCCATGTGTGTGTAGTATAAATCCAAGCCCTCCACAGCTTAAGTTTTGAACAATTATTCAAAAAGAAAACGAGAGAGAGAGAGAGAAAGAGTGAATAAATAAACCAAGTTATATTAGATCAAGATCAGAGAGATATTAATATGGCCGATCATCAGGCAAATCCTGGTAGTACTACTTCTGCTACAAATGCGAATCGCGAGAATGAAGTGTTCGATCCACCATACGAATGGACCAAAGAGGGCGGTGTTGATAATCTTCTTGTCTTTTTACCTGGTAAATATTAATATTGTTCACTGTTGCTGTTCTTGTTATTTCGTGATTGCTCATGTTAGTTCTTCTTCACCATTGTTTCCGTTTTCTGTATAGCTATAGAGTTTTATATATACGCAGATGATATAATATTAGTTGATATTATATATATTATATATGACACGTCATCAAATTTTTTTACTTAATTAATATATATTAATGAATACGTAACCATTAAAAACTCATCCATACGTAAAGATAATAACGAGAGTCATGGTTTGCATTTTTTTCATGCTTAATTAATCTTCATTTCATTAGTATATCTATTCAAGTTGAGTTAATTTAAAGTTTCTATTTTATTAGTATTCCATTCAAGTTAACTTGTTTGAAAGAAATTTAAAGCTTCTTTTCTAAAGTCACTTAGTTGGATTACTATGTGATATCTTGATACTAATTGTCTCTCTTATATCCTAAGTTCATTAAAAAATAATAAATAATCACCTTATAGACATGCTTTCCCCAAAAGATATACAACGTCCAGGAGTCAGCTCCTTGTCACGCTTCTAATTAGAAACTGCAAACTCACTTATTTTAGATCAGAAATCAACAAAAAAGAAAAAGCAACATTTTCTAGTAAATGGTTTCCTTTTTTGAACGAAGGAGGGGCCGGGACAAAAAATTAAAAACTTGATATATATCAATTCTCTTCTCAATTTTCTAGCTAGGATCAGAATGGCCTATTCTCATAAATGCTTTGCCAAATTAAAGAGGAATTGTACTAACACATTAGTTTTGTTTCACCCAAAAAAAAAAAAAAAGAGAAAACATACGTAAACACACACATATAATTTTGTTTTTCCTCTGGAAAAGACCAATTTGTATAAATTCTAGTTATATGTACACAAAATGACTACATAATATTTGATTTTCCTTTTTTTTAATTTAATAAATTTGAGTAAGGATCTCGATGTTTCGGCGAGGACTAAGTCTACTAGTAAATGACAATCTAGCTGCGATGTTCTAACTTTATACTTATGTGAATTGTTCCTTCTCTTCATTTTTATGAAAAAAAAGGTATATGTACTTGTATCATTTACTAGGTGATAATTTTTTTAAAGCATAATTGGAAGATAATCAATCACAAGTTCATCCACTTTTAATTATGCACACAAATGTAAACGATTTGCTCTATGCGTGCATAATATATGTATGTGTGTATGTATATGTGTGTATATAATATATGTGTGTGTGTGTATATTTGCAGGGTTCCAAAAGGACAGGCTGAAAATACAAATAACGTCAACTGCAAAACTGAGGGTAAGCGGGGATCGTCCGATCGGCCACAACAAATGGCGTCAGTTCGTGAAGGAATTTCCACTCGCAGACGACAGCGACACCAACAAGATCGCCGCCAAATTCGAAGGCGGAATTCTTTACATCAAAGTCCCCAAAGCCATCCCCATTAGCGCCACAACTCCTAAGGAAACTGCTAAACCAAAACCAACGACACCAAAACCAACGACCCCAAAACCAACCTCGGAACCAGCAGAACTCGTTGAACCCACCAAAACTCCAAAGAAGACCCCAACTCCCCCTCCTATTACTGCTGATCAGCGTCAGCCGCCCCAGCCACGGGATCAGCCTCAGCCGCCCCAGCCACGAGATCAGCCTCAGCCGCCGCAGCAACAGAAAGAAGTTGTTCCACCGAAGCCCGTGGCGGCGCCTCCGGTGGACAAGCAACAAGAAAAGGCAGTACCGGCCAATGCTGAGAAGAAGGATCATGTCAAAGAAGTTGCACCCAATGACAAGAAAGCTTCGGATCAGAAAACGTTTGAGAAGGCAGAGAAGGTCACACCACCACCACCGTCGGCGGCGGCGGGAGGCGGTGCTACTACTAAACCGGAGAAAAAGCCGGTTCCAGATGGATCGGATCCTAAAAAGGCTGCGGAGAAAAAAGCCCGTGATGTTGTTGATAGATCTGCGCCTAAACCGGCTGATTCAGAGGCTGCTGGACGAAAGAAGAGGATTGTGAAGAATCCGGCGATTTTGGTCAACGTGGCGGTGGCAGCTCTGATTATTGTTGTGCTTGCTTTATATGCGAAGAATGCTTTCAGGTTTTTTGAACAATCCAGTAGCTCGGCCTCGGCGGACCTATAATTGGTATATGCGTTCATGAAAGTACGTAAACATGTTAGCATGCGCTGCATGCACGTAAATTAATACTATATGCACAAGGTTGTTTAATAAGGGGGGCATTTGCTAGTAGAAGGTGGTCTGGCGGATTTATTATATGTTGTTTTTTTTCTTTTTCCCTTATCATGTGTAATTGACTTAATTATGATATTTGATTGAAATAAACGATGGTATTTGTTGTGAGCTTTTAATTCTCATCTTAGTTTTTTTTTTTTTTTTTTTTTTTTTTTTTTTTTTTAAAATTTTTTTCAAAATCTTTAATAATATTTGAGTGGGAGTGCTCTTAGTGTGCATCATGCCAACTTAATTGAAATGTTCTTAAATTCCTTGATACCTGGTTGAAACTTCTCTTTTATTTATTTTTTTTTAAAAGAGCAAAAAAAAAAAAAAAAAAAAAAGAGAGGAAATAGCCTCAAAGTGATGATCAACTTCGAGAGCCTCTTGAAGTGATCAACTTTATTTGTTGTCCCTTTTCCCTTTTTCTTTTTTGGTGTACTATTTTTCGTTTATGTGATCTCTTGAGTCTAGAGTGTTCTGCCGTTTTGCGCATTTAGAAGATGTCAATTGCATGTATGTTGTTAGACTATTGGCATGGCCCCAACCAATTTGGAGGTCAAATGCATGCGACACAAAGAAAGGTCATGGCTACATTTATGGTACGTACTGCAATCATGATGAAACATAAACGTAAAAATGAAGCAACAAATTGAATGATGATTGGGGGTCCACCCATTAGAAATAATCGATAGGCCTTTTTTTTTTTTTTTTACTTTTTTTTTCTTATTTGAAAAATCATAGAGAATGCCATATTGGAAAGGAGTAGTACGTGCGATTGATTTTTGCCATTTTAAAAATTTTGCCCCCTGTAATTGCCGCGCTCCCTAAAAGTAGAGGGCAATATGTTGAGGAGAAAGCCCTTAAGTCTTCTCTCACTTTCTCTCATTTAGTGACTTCTCGACAAAACAATGAAACATAGATGCGGTAAAGCCGTAAAGGCGTCCCCACATAATGGCGCCAATAGAGAAGTATCGGCCCTACACATGCTCGCCGTACCGCAACAGCCTTATGCTTGCCGTACCGCAACAGCCTTATGCTTGCACGAGCGTTATATGGTGAGGTAGTCTCTAAGAGCAAGTTTGGTAGGTTTTAGAATTGGAAGTTACGATTCTAGTTTAAATTAGTGTTTATTTATAAAAAATAAAAAAAGTGGTTCTGATTTGACTCACTTAAAATCAGTGTTTAGTTTAAATGGTTTTAGTTTAAGGTTTAAATTTTAATGTGATGTTTAAAACTAGAATCACCCTTAGGTGGTTCAAATCCTTGATTATGGTTCTACTTTCAGAATCATGGTTTGAACTTAAAATCATGAATCATGATTCTAATTCTAAAATCAAAACTAGAATCACCATAATTTGAATTCTCATACCAAACGAATCCTAAGTGATCAGTACTGCCACTACACCAATGCAATATTGTCATGGTGCATAAAACATATGTTGTTTGGTTCTTAAGTTCGAATAGAAATTTATTTATTATTTTTTTTTTAAAGAAAAACTAGTGAAAAGGGTTTATATTATATTTTACACTTAGGGTAATTTTTAAAAATACATCTTGAAATGAAGAATTTTTTTATTTATACTCCTTAACATTAACTTATATATTTCTATTTTTAAATTAAAATTAATTAAAAAATAAAAATTTTTAAAAATAATATTTTTAGTAAATTTGGTACTTAAAAAATGGAATATGTAATTCTCATTTAAACCTATTAACCAATTGACACTCATTGGACTCTATCTAGTGAGCTGGATGGCTGTACGAGACAATCTTCACCGTGCGAGAGGCCCATCACCGGTGTCAGACGGGCCCTCAAATTCGATGAAATTTGCACAATTGCGCTGATGTGACTCTTTCTAGCTGGATCTAGCGAGATTCATTAATGAAGGTATTTCAGCAAAATCTTCTTTTCAAATCGTGTTCTTTGTTTACCATATGTACATTTCAATTCAATAGAAAATGAGCTGTGACATTAATTTGAGTTTAAAATTTAAATTTTGTTACAATAAAATTTTTTTAGAAATAGTCATATATAATTTTTTGTTACTGTAAAAAACTCTCACATAAAGTCACATATTAATTCGAATTAGCGAACTAAACGAGATTTAATGGCTTGTTCAATTACATTTTTGAGTTATGATGATTTGAGTGAGGATCTTGAGTTGAATTTGAGTTATAAGTTAAGTTGAAGTTGTAACTTGAGTTTGTGTTTAGCTGTGTACATTTGATTTATTGTTTGAGATGAAAATCTTTTTGAATTTGTATTTAAGTGGGTCAAAACTTGTGTTTATATTTAGATAGCATTTTAATAAAAACTCAATGATGATGAAAAATTTTAATAGGGTATATGGGTAGAGTTTTATTCGTCTCTTCGTTGTGAACGTATAAAAAAAATCATCTCAATTGGAATTAAAATGAAAAAGTTATAGCATTTTTAAGAATAGAAAAAATACTGTTAATTAACTTGAGTTTGAGTTTAAGAACTTGAGTTGAAAAGGAAACTTAAGTTTGAGTTTAGGATCTTGAGTTGAATTTGAGTTATAACTTTGAAGTTGTAACTTGAGTTTGTGTTTAGTTGTGTACATTTGATTTCTTGTTTGAGATGAGAATTTTTTTGAGTTTGTGTTTGGGTGGGTCAAAACTTGAGTTTGTATTTAAATAATATTTTAATAAAAACTCAATGATGATGGAAAATTTTAATAGGGTATATGGCAGGGATTTTATTCGTCCATTCGTTGTGAACGCATAAAAAAAATCATCTCAATCAGAATTAAAATGAAAAAGTTATAGCGTTTTTAAGAATAGAAAAAATACTGTTAATTAACTTGAGTTTGAGTTTAGGAACTTGAGTTTGAGTTTAGGAACTTGAGTTGAAGGGGAAATTTGAACTCAGATTTTAACCCCAAACTTAAATTAAAATTTAAGTTAAAACTCAAGTTCAAATTCAAATTTTACAAAAGAACATGAACTTAAATAAAGTTATAACTTGAGTTCAAACTTTTTTTGAGTTTGGGTGCAAATGAACAAGCACTAAGGACTCGTTCAGTTTGTTGATTTGAATTTTCAATTTGAGTTGAGTTATGATTTTATATGAGAGCTTTTTACTGTAACAGAAAATGTTAGATGCGACTTTTTATGAGAGCTTTTAACTATAAAAAAATTAAAATTGAAAACTCAAATCGATAAAATGAACGAGATCTAAGTTTAACAGATTGATGCATCCAGTAACACGAGAATTCACCTTCAGGGTCAATAGTAGGTTTCCATTGGGATTAGAGTATTATATATTGTCCTCAGTACTGGCAATTATATATATATATATATATATATATATATATATATGCTTTGAAATCATAACCAATGTCTATTTCTTTTAGTCACTCATCATATTTGTTCCATTAAGTGGTTCAAAAATCAAAACCATGGAAAATGAGCCAACTCAACACATGTAAAGAGTTTAAAAAAAAAAAAAAAAACATTTCATAGCTACTTTGCTTAGACATTATGAAGGAAATTGCACTGGAAAGCATAATCCATCATCACAGAACCAAACAACTAAAAGTCTTGTGCCCAAGTTCTTCAGGACATTCCCAACTAAACGTGAAATATATATATATATATATATATAGCTAACTCCATATCAATGAATTACTTATAATTGGTAAACTATAATCTAAACATAACAAGTTTTCTAAACTGCTTGGGATATGATCACATCTGAAAGTAAAAGCTTCACTCTGTCAATTGCTTTTTTTCATTTGGGAACTCCAAGCTGATAGCCACCCAATTGTGATTACCAATGGGCATCACAGTAATGCCTTTAGGGAATGCATGATTTGGGAACTCTTGGTAGACTCTCACCTTGTTGCAAAGCAAGTAACTTGGCGTCACTCCGGTAGTTTTGTCCCTCGTCTTCGATTTCAACATTGGAGGAGAAGCAAGGCTTTCAGTAGAAGAAGAAGCTGCTGACTCGAAACACGAAGATGGTTTCTCGGCGTTGTTCGTTGCGAGCAATGAGCTACTCTCCTCTGTCCTTAATACTGAATTGGATGATAACCCTTCTTCCAAAACTGCTTCATAGAATTTGTCATGAGAGCATTGATCAATATTATGCAAGTCATTAGAAAATATCATGTGGAAACTATGTAAAGCAATTGAATGGAGATATATACCATTATTTTCTTTAACATCTTTCACATAGGTCTGAGCTGGATATGGAGCCAATTGAGATTCATGTTCAAGATTCCCAACGCCTGGAGTAGATTTCGGAACACGTCCCTTTAGATCGAGTGAAGTACTACTTGCAGCAATCCGATTCGATGCACCTGAAGATTATCAAGGAATTAACCTTTTCATGTACTTGATCAATCGACTTTTAACAAATTCTAGTTGTTTTACAAGTAAAATGAAGTATTGAAGAAGCTGAGTATGAAAGATTTGATTAAGCAAAGTTATACGTCGACTTACGTTCCATAAGCGCAACATAGGCAACACTTGCAGCATCCAGCTCTGCCTGTTTCTTGGAGCTTGCTGCTTTCCCATGGAAAATTTCTCCTTCCAGTTCCACCGTAGATTTGAATATCGGCTTGTGGGGGGCACCATAGTTTGTAGTTTTATAAAGCGGCATGCAGAAACATTCTTCCTGAGCAAGCTCTTGCAGGCGATTCTTGTAAGGACCTGATTCCTCCTGTACAATAAGACATATCAAGTAGATTGATATCAATGGTAGATTGATAGACAAAAATCGATATGAAATTTCGTTATTTGAATAAAGAACACAAAAACCAAACAAGGGTATCAAACCAAAAATTTTGATTTATATTTGATTGGTTTGGTAGTTTGAAGAACTGGCCTTCTGAAAGTTGTCTATTAACAAAGACATTATGGCAGCCTTAGCAGCGGAATTCTCTGCTTCCTTTGAGGTGTTGAAGAATTTGAGGCTCTCGAAGATGTGCTCGCCGACTAAAACCTTAGCCTTAAAACAAGAGGCGTGAGCGCCTCCGCATTCAATAGAATATGATGGCAATCCGATGTTTTTCCGTTGAGCATACTTCTGCAGCTGGATCTTGTATTGACAGTGGATATCTGGACAAGAGTTCAGTGTCATATTACCTCAGCTCATGAAAAACTCCTACAATGCTACAATTATTATGCTATAACCTAAAAGTAGTGTAATTCGTGTGTCCTATAGAACTAGCCACCAAGATCTAGGATAAATTGCTGTACATAAGGATTATCACTGTAAAAAATGGAAGTTTTGTCTGTGACTTGGAGAAGCTGGGGTTCTTATGGCTAAGAAATTAAACATAATGAAAAGATCAGATTGCATAATCAATAAAAAAGAGTGGTAAATTAATGTTAAGTTCTCTTCAGATCTGAAATAAACTCTAATATAGCATGTTATCTAGAAACTATATGGCCTCAAGAAAAGTAAACATAAAACATATAAAATGTCACAATGCTAATATGGATGTGCAGATGTACCAAGTACCTACTCTATACTAACTAGATAATAATTTGTTTAGCTTTGTGTTAATTATCATAAAATGTCATATAGTGTTAGCTTGTGCATATACTAAAGAAAGTTCATCTCTTGAGATTTTCTATACCGTCAATGACAGTCGCAGCATCGGACTGAATCTTGAGACTCTGAGGCGTCTCTATATCTTTTGGGCATCCCTTGTTAGGTTTGATGAATGGTATTGAAGGATCTGAAGAAGGATGAACGACATTGTAAAACTAAGGCTATAAATTTGAGTATAATCTTATACTGTCCTGTGTTTTACAATGTCCCTAGAAACCTAAAGCCACTTGTAAATTTCTAAAACATGTTTCAAACATAAAGTATGCGTAATTCTATAAAAGAATTGATTGCCATTCATTAAGAAATATGATTAGCCATAATATTAGGATCAAATTACTATGAAGCAAAAATTCAAAAGATCTGGACCAATTAAACTAACAAGTAGTGTAGACATGTTTCCGGACAGTTTTCGGTATGAGAAATCAAGTAGTCTTGAGAAAGCAGTATACTAAACATTTTGATTAGTTAAACACATTTCGTAAACGAAAATCCATCCGAGAAGGAAACGAGTTCTGTTCATCAAGAATCTTATACACAATGGACATGTTCTTTTAATCAACAATAGATGAATCAATACAAAGTAACCTGATACAAATCATACAGATTTCTAAACACAATTTAATTGTCCGTCATAATAATTGTATACCAAATCAAGAAAAGGGTAATAAGTTTGTTAATGTCGGCAATTATGATATCGTTCTTCTAATTTTGCGGAAATGTGAAAAGGGCATTGGTTAATAAATTAGAAGAATGATATTGTAGTATTTCAGAATGTGAATGAGTTAATAGTGAGAACCAAAGAAAAATAGGATTTCCATTGTGTGAAAAACAATGTTTAAAAGATGACAGTTAATTCCTTTTCAAAATTATAACATTTTCAGAGATTCAATGTTTTTTCAGACATACATTTCATGGATTTACAGAGTTCAAATTCCTTACCATTTTTCACAGCTGAAACATTTGACTTAGCATCAAGATTCTGAGAACTTTCTTCAGTAATAGGTCCCCTAGGAGAAGGTTCAGAGCCTATTATTGACAAATGATCAGGATTGGTTTGGAATGATATATTACTAATAATACAAATCAAAAGGACAAATTTCATAAAAATTCTTCAGATTTGAGAATGTGCTCAAAACATAATGATCAGATCAGCTTCTCCTAAATCAAAGAGTTATCAGAAATAAAAAGAGGAAAAAAAAAAGGAAAATTAAATCGTAAATCTTTAGAGTGAGTGATTATCAGTTTTTCTTCAAATCCCAACAAAAGAAAAAACAGAATACTAACACAACAAAAGCCTTTTACTTTACAAAGTGAACAGAAATGTAAAGAAAAGAACTCCAACCACCCCAAAAGTCCATTTATGTTGAACAAGAAAAAACATACTCTTCCTTCAATACAAGCAGAAATATAAATGTATATAACTTTTTTTCCCTAATACAAAGCGCTAGCCATGAAAGTATATATGCAAGTTATACATGACCAAGAAAGCCATACATGATATGTGTGTGTATATATATATATATATGAAGAAGTGATGAGAGTGGAAGTAGTTGGAGGAGTGGAAGGAGAAGTGAAGTGAAGAAAAGCAAGCATGGCGACACGGTTGAGGGCTTGTTTGGAGGATTTGCAGGGAGTGAGGGAGTCAAAGGAGGAAGCGTTGACCGAGACGGAAGCTCCAAAACGAGGTTGGTGGTCTGGCCCACATTTCATGCAACTGTATTTTGGCAAACCCCACTTCTTCTTCTGGCAAAGCTCTTGCAACTTTGCCTTATACATTATTATTATTTATTATTATGTCTTATATATGTTATGATGATGATGAGTAATTTTAACAGTTTTTAGAGACTTCTGAATTTCTCTTCTCTTTTCTTCTCTTCTCTTCAACAAGATGATCAAATAAAATAAACCTTCTGAGTGTGTGAATGCTTTTCCTGTTGTTGATATCCTTCTTGAAGAATAAAATATTACACAACACACAGAAGGAGACACCAAATGCTTCCCGCGTGTTGTACTTCTTTCATTATGTATGTATCATGTATGTATGTATGTATGTATTGTTAGAACTGTATACATGTAAAGCAAAATAGAAACGAAGAAGATGAATATTATTAATTGGAAATTTCAGCAGAAATATAAATTGTTACAATGAAATTGAACCTAAAAAAAAAAAAAAGAGTTTTGAACAAAAGTACGTTGAGACTTGTAGTAGTCACAATTTTTTTAAAATAGTTTCGCCCATCCGCGGGTGCTTGAATTTCGTGCGAGCACCTGTTTTCCAGGATACAACGACGTCGAGTAGATCTTCAGCACGAAAGAACCACTTCAGCGAACTCTAACTACACCTTCACTCTATCACCAGAACGCCTAACACTCTAAGAACAGATTCGAGAGCAAAAGAGGAATTTTTTGTGTGTTTCTAAATGGTTGAGGAGACCTCCTTATATAGGCTGTTGCAAGGGATGTCACAAAGCTGGAGTAATGGTAAATTAATCAAAATTTATTCTCAGAATAATAGAAATTCATTTTAGAGGTTATAAATTCCTGCACATCCAGATGAACCTGTTCTAAGGTATGTCCACATTCTAAAAACATGCAGCAGTTTCTTAAAAATGAATTTCAAATTTAAGTTGAAAAATGCAAAAAGAAAAATTGCAAAACATTCACGTCGCCCACATCGTGCGGCGCGCACATTGGAGCCCTATAACCCATCGGTCCAATGATTCGCACCTCCCGCGCGTGAGAGAGCATCTTGGGTGCACATTCTTACTCAAGCTTGAGGGTGCAATCTCTTATTATAAACTTTAACAAGCTTTAATATCTTTCCCGTGGGACTCTTATCCAACTTTTCAATAGACACACATTCACCCAAACATGGCAAAACCATGTTTTTCCAACATGTGTGTGTGTAAGTATGTCTGTATGTGTGTTGTTTTCTCTCTAAGATTATCCAAATTCCATGATCCAAAGGCTGCCTCTTAATCCTCTTAAGAGAATAGTTAAAATATGCTTTGAACTTTTAACTTGAGTATTTTTCTTGATATAGATAAATAATCTAAAGAAAAATTAGTTTAAGCCAAATATTACACGTAGAACTCCCAGGGGCAGGGAGACGCCAAATGTTCCTGCGTTTGAACTTTTTCTATATGTATCTACGTATGCTTTATAAACTTTTAGATCGAGTTTTTTTAACAAATAAATTACAGGAGAAAAAAAAAAAAACATTTGTATCAGTTTGGACCATTTATTACACATGAATAAAACATGGGTACCACTTCCACTTGATCTTGTTGGTGTACTTTTTTTCACAAAAAAAGAAAAAAAAAAAAAAAAAGCAGAGCAAAAGCCAAGTAATAAAAGCATCAAAAGAAAAATACCACACCAAAATATTCCTGAAATATCCTTTCTCAGCGGAGAAAGCTAGAGGTATTTCCAGTAAATAATAATAATAATAATAATATGGTGTGTTTTTATTATTATTATTAATCTTTTGATGTTTTACTATGGTTTTTGCCCTTCTTTTTAGAAGTTATAAAGTGAAAATAGGACCAAGAAATCAATAAAATTATAAAAATTATATATTATTGTGTGTTTTGACATAACTCCATGTGTGGTATTATTAAATCGACTGCTTAGACCTTACAATACAAGTGTGATCATGAACTACCAAACTAGGCCTTAGAGGTGAGAAAAGGCATAATTGATGAAAGAAAAAAACAGCTCTGTTTCATATTCTTAACTAGCCAAAACGGATTGTTTGCTTAGCCAAATAAGTTTCCATTCCAAATTAAACATGGCTATGTTAGAAGATCATAAGCTCTGTTTTATAAGCTCTAGAACCTTTATTTTGCTGGACCAGTATCATAAACTATGCTTTATATATTATTCAACTTTAAGAGGACAGTTCAAAAGTATCATTATGAACAATCTCTCAATTCTATTCATACAAAAAGCGTTTTCAAGTCTTTTCTAGGTGTCATTTTCTGTGTGTGTGTGTGTGTGCAATACTATATCACCAAAGGTGATGGACTAGCACACTTTTCAATCAATTATAATTAACTATATTACAAGATCTTATATGTCAATGTCTTAACTTGCAAATATACCACTAATGATGATAATTACCGTGATAAATAACATTTTTTCCCTTTCAAAATATTTGTTGAATAACCACCATTAATCGTGACCATTAAAAACTCATCCATAATATATATTTAATAAGAAACAAGAAGAATTTTACTAATAAAATGGGGAAGTGTACAATAAGGACAAGGAGTCCACCAAAACAAAACTTCTACAACAAAACCAGAATAACACCTAAAAACTCGAAACACTGGAGAACTAAATCCCAGCCTCTTAATAATAATAGGTCAGAGAAATAAAATGCAATGAATCCTTACCCCCAAAAACTATATATTTTTCTGAACCATGTATTTAGCACAAACCACCAAAAACTTAAAAAAAAAACAAAAAAAAAATATGAGAACTACATTTAATGGCCAGACCAGAACTATAACATAATTCTAAGGGTCCATTTGATTTGTGGGTTCAAATCATAGTTCATGATTTTAATTTTTAAAATTTAAATTTTTTGTGAGAGTAAAACACTGTAGCAGAACTAAGAATCATTGTTTGAACCATGCAGAACTCTTAAAACAAATAGACGCTAAACTTTGGGAACTCGATTTGAAGCACATTACCCCCCTAACAAGAGAGTGAAATCTGATACGAATTCAAAGATCTAAGATCAGCTATATTAACGTTTCCTTTACATGGCTACATGATATATCTATAACGCAGTAGAACCAAAAAGGCTCCAGTCACAGACTTTAAAGGTAGAGACAGCATGTCTAAAGACCTCGGCCATTGGCATACACCCAGATTGCGTTGCAGCGATAGTGAAACCGGCCCCCACCGCGCTAGCGCTCTCGCTCAAGGGACTGCAACCGCAAGGAAAGAAGGCAACCGTATCAGAAAATAGCATAGCAACAAATAATCTTTGACAGGAAAAGACAAATACAATCCTTTTTACAATCTGACATTAATATGTGAGAAAGAGAGGTTTCCTTTCAATTTAGTGGTTGTATATATGACCAAATAAACATGTATAAATTATTAATACTAATAGTAATAGTAATAGTATTACTATAAGTATCAGTTGGTAAAAGCTCTTGAAAAAAAAGGGCCATCTGGTTCTTTAACAAACTTATACTTACTTTATGTGAATGGGCTCATATGCAGTAACTAGCACATCTGTATTAACTGCTTTAAGACGCAAATTTGCCACATAAACCTGAAAGAAAAACAATAAAATCCACTTAGCACATTAAAACAAAATAGTATCCTAGATAAAACAAAAAAAAAAACAAAAAAGGGACATACTCTCACAAGATTCTGTGCTTCCCTTCCTTGCCGCCCCTTGGAGATGGCCTATGTTCGAGCAATCAAAATTAAAGATTAAAAGCATGATCCCAGGAAGAAAATACATTTCAACGCTGAAAATCTTCAAAGGTTGTTGAAGCAACATAGTTTGCTATTCAAGCGGAGAAAGAAACTGTTGAGGCACTTTTCATGATAAGCACAGAAGAATCATGTTTCCTTCATTGAGATGACAACTACTCGGACTTCAAATGGGCTAAAATCATAAGTTCAGAACCAACAAGCCAACAAAAACATTGGAAACATAAAAAGATTGATATGATACATAGTAGTGAGATACCATTTGGCCTACTGCAGTTGTAACAACAGCGGGTATGTTTCTATAACACAATCCAGAGGCCTCAATCACTCCTGATTGTTCAATCACCTGAAGTAAATTTGATGAAAATAAGTCCTTAGAACAATAGCACAAATCAGAAATTGAACTAGTAAATGGAATTTACAGGGGACAAGAAAACCACATTGAAATATTTCCAAACCGTCATATATGTTAAAATAAAATAAGCTACAAAGACTTGCACAGGGGGGAGAAAACAAAAAAGTACTAACTTGATCAATACCAATCCCAGAAAACAACTTCAACCGTTTTTTCTTTTTTTTTTAAATCCGAAACTCCAGATCATGTTATCTACTATTTTACCGACAAAGTTAAGATTATAACAACTCAACCGTATTGGTAAGGCCATCCATTAATTCACAATTGATACTTAACCCTCTTTCCTTCACAAAGAAACATGTCATTTGAACTGTAAATTCAATAGCCAGCATAAGTTAACCCGAGTACATAGAAGAATACAAACATGAGAGTCCCTCTTGATCCCCACATACATTGAGCACTCATAATTAGATTTTTTTTTTCCTTTTCTTTTCTTCTAACTTGAATAAAATTGAATGTTTATATGCCTTATAAGCAACTAATCTAATGGCCCCTTAAATACCACCATCTATAAACAAAAACAAGGAAAATTACTTTCATAAACTAAAAGTTTAACTAAGTGAGCATTGAGGAAAGAAAAAAGCCAAAAACTATTACCACGCTTCCTTCAGCGTCTTGTTCATTGGCAAGGTCTTGGAGAAACCACGTAGCACTTTCATTATCACCAACTTCATGCTTCAATTCCAACAGCTCAAAGATCAAACTCTCATCACGGGCGGGGTCCACAAACACCTCCTTCAAAACCCATCAAAATAATTAACACGCATATACATACACAAAAACTGAAATCCTCCACGAAAAAAGACCAGTCATACATTTAACACGTTAAGAATGGAGTATATCATTATATTTATTTTATACAACAATGATTTAGTAAATGTATAACAACCAAGAATTTATCTACTCTAGTTATTTCTAGAACAATGTTACACCTTTACAAAATCATTGTTCCACAAAATAAATGTAAGGTATAACATGGGTCATCACTATAAACTCAATAACAAATAGTGTGAAAGAAAAAATAATTAATGCCCAGAAGATTAAATCACTAATTAATTAGTGCTACATACCTGATGATCAGGAACTTGTCGAATGTCACTCACGTCCTATAAAATTTTAGCACCGAAAAACCAAATACGTATCATCATATAGAAGGCAGATATGAAAAGAACTTTTGAAAAGTAAACCAAATGAAATCTCGTAAAATAGGGGGAGAAAATGGGCGAACCTGAAACCTGAGAGGGAAAGTGGCAGATATGGCACCGCCGAACAATGGACGCTCAGTGGAGGATTCTTCAGGCATTTTTTTTTTTTTGGCCAACAAAACAAAAAATAAGAAATGAAAATACCCTTTATTTCTGAAAGACAAGAATCAGCCGGTTAGAAGAAAAACAACAACCAGTAAACAGGTTTTCTTGACTTGAATCCAAAACAAGCGCTAAAAGTGAAAGCAAGAAATGAAAAAGAACAAATAATTCTAGAGAATAAGAAGAAGAAGAAGAATCAAATCATTTTACCTTCCTATTCTTTAGTGTGATATGTTATTAGAGAGAGAGAGAGAGAGAGAGTGAATGTTTAAAAGGGCTCCTCCACGGGGCGTTTATTTCACGCCATCGGTTCACCACCAGGCGTGGCGGCATTGTTAAGCATAATTGTATGAAGAAACTAGAAAAGGAAAGAGAAATTTATTACTCTCTGATTTGGTCACTGTAGAAACGACTTGTCGTTTGGTAATAGTAATTGTAGACTAGAGTTTTTACCTTTATATGTATGTTTTAAGCAATCATCAAAAACTGGATGATGAATTTCCATAGCGCAAAAAAGAAAAAAAAAAAAACAGAATCATTGAGAGGTAATTGACTGAGAACTAACACGTTTATATAAATGAATATAACCTATTTATATTTAAAATGGCCATTACTTTTCTTAATTCTAATGGAACTTTAATATGCACTTCTAATTTTGTTTGAGTTCATATTAAATTAGGACAGAGATTTTTGCTTTCAATTCTTTAGTTTTTATACAACATTCTCGTTATTAAATTTTCGTCTCTAAGCTCCTTGATTAGTTGAGTTTCAAAATTTCATAGGGTTTCATAATTTTGTTGCATGAGAAAAAGAAAGGCAGAAAAGCCAAACCCATGACCTGATCTATGCAAAAACAACTTGATAATGATATTCCACACTAGGCGTGTTTATATGATCCAATCATCAAATTGACCGACCCATTTTTAATTGATAATTGATCTCAATTGAATTAGATTGGATGGAATCTCTTTAAAACTGACTTGGATTAGTTTGAATGTTAATTTTACTTTCAAAACACCCGATCCAAACCAATCCAATCCTTATATGTGACATAAAAAAAATAAAAAATAAGTTTTTTTTTTTGTTTAATAATGAATCATCATCAAAGAGAGTAGTAAGTGTGCACAATTGAATTTTTAGATTTTGTTCTATTTCTTTGTTGTTTTTTCATAGTTTGGAATAAATTGTCTGTTGCAACTTTCAAGTTTGTAATTTGGAGTTTATATGCATTTTTTTTAGATTTATGAATATATATATATATATATATATATATTTTGAACTACAACATTTAAATTATGTTAAAAAGATCTAACAAACAGGTTCAATATGAAAATAAAAATTAATAAATGGAAAAAAGAGATAAATACTCCTTAAAAGTGCATGAGTCAAGATTTCTATCTCTTAATCTTGATTACTAATTTTTTTAGTTAAATAATTATACTAACAAAAACGTATTAATTAAGAATGAATGATAAAAATCCAGATGCATTTCTCAAAATAAATTCTGCAATTTTCAAACTGACGTTACACTAATAATCGGTGGATTGGATAGAATTTCTAAAACCGACCGTTAATTGAATTGGCTGATATATGGTTAAAATAAGTTGGATTAAATTGAATGAGCGCCCCTATTCCACATGAGCAAAACGGCCGGACTATGTGTCTGCATGAGTGGCGGCCAAAACGGCAACACAGACGGAAAGGAAGGGCGAAATCAAAATTACAAAAGAGATTAGAGTGGGTGCCAGAGAACAGCCAACCGCACTAAATTATCAAAATGTCCGTGCTTCTTTTTTTGTTTTTTAATTTTTTCATTCACGGATGAAATTGTCGTTAAAGTGACAAGTCTCTAGTTGCATACAATCGCATCCCCTTTCGTAAAACAAGATGCACATTTTCGGCAAAAAAAAAAATAGTCACATTATATAAGCCCCATCGCTCATGTTTGATTTTGAATATTCCACTTATTCCATCCACTCTCATATAATGATACAAACGAATAAAGAAGAAAGAAGAGCAAAGAGACGAGGATTTATGCTTTATAGTAAATGAACATAAAAAAAAGCCCCCTGGAGGAGTAAATAGAAAAAAAAAAAAAAAAAAAAAAAAAAAAAAAAAAAAAAA